AATACATATTGCAAAAATACATTTAGAAATAAATGTTTAAAAATAAACCCACAAATAATTATTCTAATATCTATATATTCAGCATAATTTATGCACCTGCATAAAAATGGCAATTAAAAATAAAAGTATGCTTTTAAAAACACATTGTTTGAAAACACAAATGCATAATGAATTATAAATAATTAATGGAGAATTACTCTAATACCTACAATTTCTGCATAAAGAGTGTCTTTTTAAAATAAAAGTCAAAAATAAAAATAAGAGTTTTTAAAAAAATCATTCATGTAAAAGAATGTCTAAAATATGTCATTTTAAAGATGTCAAGTTAAAGAATGCATAGAATTATTATATCAACAATTCCTGCATTAATAATTAATGCACTCTCGTCAGAAGTCTTAAAAATGTAATTTTAAAATAAAAGCACGCTTAAAAATACATGCATAAAATATTAAATCTACATATTCCTTATTCTAAAAAATGTCATTTTAAATATAAAATATATTTTAAAAAAAGGCATAAATAATAATTATTATACCATTAATTCCTGCATAAATAATTGATGCACCCTCAAAATGTATTTTAAAATAAAAGCACATTTAAAAAAAATAAATGCATGAAGAATTATTTTAATATTAATAACTCCTGCATAATAACAGATACACGACTCACCCTCGTCCCACTATGAGCCTGAGCGCGTCCACGTTGCCGTGCTGCGCGGCCCAAAGCGTCGGCGTCATGCCATCCTCATCCGGCGCGTTCAAGTGTTTGCGCGTCGCTTCTTTCAGCAGCAGCAGGTGCCCGTCCCGAGCCGCCCGGTGGAATCTATCGTCCATGGCGGAGGCTCGCGGATCTCTCTATCCCGGCTCACGGATGCGCATTTGGCGGCAGTGTGTGTGTGTGTGTGTGTGTGTGTGTGTGTGTATTGGAGAGATTTCACGTGCGCTTCTGTCTGCTCCACTCCAGAGCCTCTGCTGGTTTGCATGAGTGGTTGCTATGGGAGGAGTCGAGCAATAATAGAACGCCCACTTCCGATCAGCGCACACCTGAGATGAGAAGCACACCTGACTCACTCTCTTACAGGAATAATCCTTATATATAATTATATTTTTCATAATAGTTTAATAACTCATCTCTAATAACTGATTTATTTTCTCTTTGCCATGATGACAGCACATAATATTTGTCTATATATTTTTCAAATCACTAGTATTCAGCTTAAAGTGACATTTAAAGGCATTACTAGGGTAATTAGGGTAAAGTTAGGGTAATTAGGCAAGTCATTGTATAACAGTGGTTTGTTCTGGAGACAATCCAAAACTAATATTGCTTAAAGGGGCTAATAATATTGACCTTAAAATGGCTTTAAAACAATTAAAAACTGCTTTCGTTCTAGCCAAAATAAAACAAATAAGACTTTCTCCAGAAGAACAAATATTATAGGGAATACTGTAAAATTTCCTGAATCTGTTCATTTGGAAAATATTTAACAGAATAAATATTGCACAGGAAGGCGAATAATTTTGCCATCAACTGTGTATATAACTTGTCAAATATTTTCATTTTAAATGTTTATAGTGTTTATTTTAATAAAAAATATATTTTGTTTTAAATAAATTACATTTACATATAAAAAAACAGTTTTTAAATTACAATAAACTGTAAAACGTGATTAATTACTTAAAGCGAGTAAACCAATTGCCCTAAATAAACAAGTTGACTTTACAATAAAATTTAAGTAAACCCATTGCAACTTGGAACTGTTAAGCTCACTTAATTTTTATTATTATGCAAATTGTACCCACTTTTTAAAAAAATAAAAAGCAATCTAATCACTTTTTCCAATACGCATTTATTACATATTTTTTATCCAGCAAAATGAAATTAACTAAAATAAATCTGCTCCTCCAGACTCCAGTGCGTCTTCTAAATTCAATACAGGCTTTAAACGTAGATTTTTATAGACTTAACGAAGCACCAAATATGTAACATTGCAATAATTACAGTAATTATTTAAAAACAGACAGGCTAAAATAGTCTGATACTGTAAAAAGTGACTAGTTGACTTTAAAAAAATGGTAATAATTGCAGTCATTTTCTCAGAGATGGGTTGCGGCTGGAAGGGCATCCGCTGCGTCAAAACATGATGGATAAGTTGGCGGTTCATTCCATTGTGGGGATCCCGGATTAATACAAGAACTAAGCCGAAAAGAAAATGAATGAATGAATTGCAGTAATTATTTGAAAACTGACGAGCTAATATATTCTGACACTGTAAAAATGGACTAGTTGACTAAAAAAGTGAGCACAATTAGCATAATTACAAAAATTCAACGTTACAGTTCCAAGTTACAGTGGGTTTATTTACATTATTTTGTAAAGTCAACTCGTTTCTTTTGAGGCGATTGGTTCACGTGCTTTCAGTAACAAAATCACTTCTTACAGTGTATATTAAAAATATAATCTTATATAGAGCATTTCAATGTGGTGATGTCACTGGCCCATGAACATTTCCTGCGTGTTACCAAACTATTTTATCATAAGAGTGACAAGAGGCAATTCAACCATCATAACAATATCAATATGTGGAGCCTTTTGGATTCTTGGAAGCTACGGAAATTCAAAATGGAATAAAGGAAATACAATAGGACCATGGTTATTGTTTACATCCCTCAAAATGGTCTATAATGTATTCATTTTCTTTTCGGCTTAGTCCCATTATTAATCCAGGGTCACCACAGTGGAATGAACCGCCAACTCTCTATATAAGATCATATTTTTAATATACATATGTAATGGAGGCCAGCTAGTGAGTGCTGTGCAGGTAAACCTCACTCCTCTGACCTCTAAAGGTGCTCTAGCGACAATCGCTACAGGTCATGGTCTTTAGCCTCCTTGTTAGAGCAACTGACTCCCATGCAGAAGGTCGTCGGTTCAAAACCAGCTCGGAGCAGGTTGGGTGGCATAGAACCGGCAGAGTTACACATACACTGTAAAAAGGGATTAATTACACTAGTAAACTAATTGCCACAAAAGAAACAGGTTGACTTTACACAAAAATGTAAGTAAACCCATTGTAACTTGGAACTGTAAAGTTGAGTGTTTATAATTATGCTAATTTTACTCACTTTTTTTTAAAGTCAACTAGTACCTTTTTACACGGTCAGATTAATTTAGCTCGTCTGTTTTCAAATGATTACTGCAATTCATTCATTTTCTGTTTGGCTTAGTCCCTTTATTAATCCGGGGTCGCCACAGGGGAATGAACCGCCAACTTATCCAGCATATGTTTTACGCAGCGGATGCCCTTCCAGCCACAACCCATCACTGGGAAACACCCATACACACTTATTCACACTCATACATAATGGACAATTTAGCCTACCCAATTCCCCTATAACACAAGTCTTAAGACTGTGGGGGAAACCGCTCTATTGCATTTGCAAATAAAGTAAACAAAACCGCATTTATGAATATTTTTATAGTATTTCTGTACATGCAGCATTTAAGTTTGCAGCTTTTGCACATTTTTTGTGCTTCATTTATGCAGAAGTCACTCTCAGTCCTCCACCTGCAGAAGAGTATTACAGTAAAAATAACACGCACAGATACAGACAGACACACAAAAAGAAAGACAACCCATTGCTCATGAAATCAAGTGCGTGTCTTTCTCACGGTTTGACTCAGTGGAAAATAAAACAGCATGTTTCAGAAACAACAGTGCCAATATATACACCAGAAACAAAGAAAAAAAATAAGAGGACATCTTAGACTTCATTGAACTCGATTTTGGAGAACAAATGCAGAGCTCATTCATCATCCACAATGTGTTCAGCGGTAAAGAAAAGGCTGTGCAGAGTTTCTTCTGTCATTAAACTCTCTGGATCTCAAACAGCTTGACATCAGTGTCGTACCAAACAGGAGGATCCACATTACTAAAACAACAACAAACACATCATGTTATACCACATTTTAACATGTACATGCATTCAAAAATAGAGCTGAATATATAAAAGGTAAGTTGTGCTGCTTTTTGCACTCATGCTTTTGGGTGTGATGATGTAATGTACACTTAATACACTTCACTGAACGGGTCCACAGAGGAAAAAAAAGAACAAACATTTTAGGAAATACTGTAAAAAAAATTCCTTGCTCTGTTAAATATAACTTTGGAAATATTTGAAAGAAAACAAATTACAGGAAGGCTAATGTATTTGATTATTTAGTTGATATTTTTCATATTCATAAGTGTAAATTTTCCAATAGAAACTCCGCTTTCTTGTGTTTAAGCAATTGAAAAAAAATACTTCTTTACTATTGAACATATTACTAATAAAAAGACCCTTAAAACTGTCTATTTGTGTTCAATTTCCAAACTTTTAGATTAATGTGAAGGTCCTGCTTGTGTATAACTTTAAGAATTTGATCATTTGTGCTTGTTTTGTTTCTAAATTTATTTTATTTTGTACTTTTATTATTATTTACCCTCCATCCCGCCCAGCATTAAATATAACTAGTTCATTGTGTAATGTATCTGTTGTTTCAAGCATAAAAAAAAGTGACAACAAAACAAAACAAGCACCTCATGTTATACATTTACATTTAGTCATTTAGCAGACGCTTTTATCCAAAGCGACTTACAAATGAGGACAAGGAAGCAATTTACACAACCAAGAGCAACAATGAATAAGTGCTGTAGGCAAGTTTCAGGTATTAGTAATTAAAAAAATATATATATTTATTATTTTTTTATTAATGCAATTAGTGGAAGGGTCAGAGAGGCAATTGCAGATTAGGAAGGGAAGTGGAGACTAAATAGTTGAGTTTTTAGTTGTTTCTTGAAGACAGCGAGTGACTGCCGTTCTGATGCAGTTAGGGAGTTCATTCCACCAACTGGGCAGATCGAACGTGAGAGTTCGGGAAAGTGATTTATTCCCTCTTTGGGATGGGACCACGAGGCGACGTTCATTCACTGAACGCAAGTTTCTGGAGGGCACATAGATCAGAGCTTTGAATTTGATGCGAGCAGCAACTGGCAGCCAGTGCAAACGGATGAGCAGCGGAGTGACATGTGCTCTTTTAGGTTCATTAAAGACCACTCGTGCTGCTCCGTTCTGGAGCAGCTGAAGAGGTTTACACATTTTTACATATACATGAATTCAAAATACAGCTGATAATATTACAGTTAACTTGTGCCGCTTTTTGCATTAATTTATTTTGGGTGTGATGAAGTAATGTACACTTAATACACTTCATTGAACGCCTACACATACACTCAAAAAAGATTAACTGGATTTACTACATTTTTTAAGGTGATTATAAAGAATTTATGAGGGCTGAATTTAAACAAACAAATTTAATGTAGTAATTTTCAACTTCATTTGTTTGTTTAAATTCAGCTTATTTAATTTTTTCCATTCGCATCCACTTACCTTAAAGAAAATTAGTAAATCCATTTAATCACTTTTATACTATATAGTGTAACTGCAGGTTAACTATGTTCATATATAATAACTTTAACTGGTAAACACCAGAGGTGTGGACTCGAGTCATGTGACTTGGACTCGAGTCAGACTCGAGTCATGAATTTGATGACTTCAGACTCGACTTGACAAAATATGAAAAGACTTGCAACTCGACTTGGACTTGAACATAAATGACTCGGACTTTCACTTGGACTTGCGCCTATTGACTTGTAAAGACTTGCTACTTTCTATAAAAAGCCCAAAGATAAAAAGTATGTTGACACGGAGCATCTCTGTGTGTGTGTGTGTGTGTGTGTGTGACAAAGCATGCGCGCATACTTTCGACCACTAGCGCTTTGTGGCGCACTTCCGTGTTTTTGCACCAGCGGGAAATTTGAAGATGCCATTTTCATTCTGACTCGGAGAGTGAAATAAACACATCCGCGATCAGCTCCTTTTGTTTTATTCAGCGGATTTACAACATCTGTCAAAGGTAAGATACTTAACTACTCGCAATGTGTTACTGTTGTGCAAAAGCATTGTTTTACTGTTGTGCACAAGTCAATGAACTTCAGTTTTTTTAACCAAACTTACCCTCTCGTCATTTATTTCACATAATTATGAATGAACATGGCTGTAATTTATGTTTTTGCACTTGGTCGTTTGTGTCAATGCGCATATTATGTTTTATCTTTGTGTTTTGCCCATCCTCTGACAGTATTTTCTAACTATTTAATTAGTAGTAATAATAATTACATGCCATAATAACTATATATATATATATATATATATATATATATATATATATATATATATATATATATATATATATATATATATATATATATATATATATAAAATTTATTTTTAAAGCTCTTAAAACTGTGAAAAAAGTGTTTTGTTATTTTTTGGTAACATTTTGCAACAAGGTTTCTTTAGTTAATCTATGTACTAACGTGAACTAATAATGAACTATACTTTTAAACCTTTATTAATTATAGTTTAACATTTACTATTGCATAATTACAATTTAAAGGTATGCTTGTTAACATTAATGTTAATGCACTGTGATTTAACAAAGGTTAACCAATAATTTTATTTCCATTAATTAATGAATACTGTAATGATTTGTAACTGTACTTCACTGCATTGTTTGTTCACATTAGTACATAGATAAACTTAATTAATTAATACAACCTTATTGTAAAGTGTTACCTTTTTCATATTTTGGATTGATACTATTAATTTTATTTAGTATTTAAAACCTTAAAAGTATTTTTATTATTGTTGATGTTATGCCTCTTAGCAATATTTTATTCCTCTATATGGTTTTTAATTAAATTTTTATTGTGAGATTGTAATGTAATGCATCTATATTGTTGAATTTCTGTTTGTTTGTTTTTCTGTATTTCCCCCTCTATATTTAAGGATTATCTACTATTTTTAAGGTACTTAAAACCAACCATCTAATAAAAAATACAATTAACAATCACATTTCGTTTCATGAGTGTCTTTGTTCCTGTTTTGTAGGACTCTTATTTTAACAGATTTCATTGGAAAACACTTGACTGATCATTCAATTAAAGTTTTACCTTTATTATTCTATCACTCAATGAGATCATTTAATTGTGAGTTGAATTACTCCATTTGTAATTGTTTTTAAATAAACTAAAAACGAAGACTTGTTTTATTCAGTTTGTTGAATTTAAACTCTACTTTACATATTAAAATATATTTAAAAGCACTATGAATGTATTTAAACTAATATTTAAATTTATATAACTGTTTCACTGTGGGTATTTCTATTTTAATTTATTTAGCACATTTATTGCCTATTCAAACAAGAAAACAAGTTTTAGATAATTTGTGGCTCTAATAAATTGTTAAACATTACAATATCCCTGCAGAAAAATCCAGCTTAAACCAGCCTAGGCTGGTAAGCTGGCTTTAGCTGGTCGACCAGGCTGGTTTTAGAGGGGTTTTGGTCATTTCTATGCTGGTTTCCAGCCATTTCCAGCCTGGTCTTAGCTGGTCAGGCTGGAAACTGAACTGAGCTAAACTGAACTGAACTGAACTTAAACACTAAAACCTGAACCACACTGTTCCAGTTACTACGACCATTTATGTGAAGCTGCTTTGACACAATCTACATTGTAAAAGCGCTATACAAATAAAGCTGAATTGAATTGAATTGACCAGCAAAATCCAGCTAAAACCAGCTTGACCAGCCTGGTTTAAGCTGGACATAGCTGGTTTTGGCTGGGCTCCCAGCCTGGCTAGGCTGGTCAAGCTGGTTTTAGCTGGTCATCTCCCAGCCTGCCCAGATAAGACTAGGCTGAAAATGGCTGGAAACCAGCCTGGAAATGACCAAAACCCCTCTAAAACCAACCTGGTCGACCAGCTAAAACCAGCCTAGGCTGGTTCAAGCTGTTTTTTTCAGTAGGTATTTTTGACAAAATGGTCTAAAATGATAGTTACAAGTGCCTAAGTGGGATTTGAACCCCGTTCTTTATGAAAAGAAAGAAAAATCTGATTGGCTCTGACATTACTTTCACCAGTGGGCAGGTACTTTAATCTGATTGGCTGGTCTCTCGTGCACGTATTCAGTCTCACTGCGTTTGCTTGACTTTTGTCCACACTGGTGCCTCAAACCTTTCCTGCTTTTGCTCTCCAGAGATCCTCCTGGTAAATTGATTATTCCAGAATGTTGATATGGTTTATATATTGCTATTTAGTAACAATACATTAAAAACTATGAGGTTAAGGTAAATTCTATAATAAATGCTAGTGTTTTTGAGAATTAGGTATACTGCCTATGTTTAAGCCTAGTATTATTTACAAGTTGTTAATGAATGCTTCAGCATACTTTAGTATTAAGAATAGTGAACTGATAAAATAAAATACAGAGTGTAGTTTTACTACAGTAAAGTGTGGTGAATTGTAGTATAATATACCCTATATTGTAAAAAACTACAGCACTGGGTAATTTGTTTATATTACACTTGTGTTACCATAGCAACTATAATATGACCCCAACAAATTAATTAAAGTACTTTACTATAGTACTGTTCAAAACACTGTCCATGCCAATAGATGTGTTCAGGGGCCCTGTGGAACAGCTTTTCCTCAAAATGAAGAGGATGACATGGAAAATGTCCTCCACAATCTCATCAATAATGTGGAAGACAGCAGAGACGTGTTCATTTTATTTTAGTTGCCATGATAAAATGGGATTGATAGTGAGATTTATTTAAAGAGTGAATAGTACAGTAGGCTATAATGCCAAATCAAGTTTTTCCTTATTTTTATCACAGTTACATTTCTGCTTGCGTTAGTTATATTTTTGTTTAAATGTTTTTTATTTGATTAGTATGGTGAACCTTTTGGATGTTTAATAAATGTTTGTAAAACAAAATGCATTCTTTACATCCAACATCTATTCTCTGTGTCTTTAAGTGTTTGAAACTGGAAATATCTCATCATAAAACATACAGCCAAAATTTATGGTTTATTAGATTAAAAATTTAATATGTAAGTCTATTTTAGTATTTTGGTTTTTGTTAATAAATAGTCCCTCAATATAAATTATATAAAAAAGCACGAAAGGAAGAGGAAACACAAGACTCAAAATCTGTATATAATCTCTGAGAGCCCGCAGGAAAATGTGTGTGTGAGCAGTGCATATTTGAGAGCGAGAAAATTTGCGCGTGAGCAGCGTATATTTCAGAGCTCGCAAGCAGTTTTGTCCACAGAGGAAATCGGTGCACGAGCATCACACAAGGTAGAGAGCAAAGTTCTTCATTGTTATGTGAAGAAAACAACGTTATTGTTTGTATGAAGTAGCCTACTTCATTTAGAATATGTGCTACCATTTTACATTGCTGCTAGACAGATTTGCATCTCCATCTCTTCAGCACACACGAGATTTAATTGACAAAATACCAAGTTCACTCAATTTTACTTTGCAGCATACAGGAGTTGTTGGTCTACTGCTGCCTCATTGAGGTTGTTTATGTAGTTTTAGTTAATCACAAGTTGATCACTGAAGACATAACATAGCACAACTAAACTTAATGAACTAGACAGCAGTAGACCTGCAATTTCTGTGTGATGTGAGGCAAAATGGACTCTATTGTATAGTGGAACTCGTTCTTGTGCAATGTGCTGTGTAGACAAGATGCAGCACTGTTTAGCACTTTTTCAGAAAATTACATTTGTGTTTTTATATACCTGAGCAATGTTCTTTCATAAAAAAAGGTTTGTTTAATAAATACAGATCTTACAACCATACATAATCTGTTTACAGTTCATTTTTCTGTTAAAAAGACTCGAAAAGACTCGAAAATCAAACTATAGGACTTTGGACTTGACTTGAGACTTGTTGCCTTTGACTCGGGACTTGACTCGGGACTTGCCTGTCTTGACTCGGGACTTGACTCGCGACTTGAGGGCAATGAATTGAGACTTACTTGTGACTTGCCAAACAATGACTTGGTCCCACCTCTGGTAAACACTATTGGTTAGTTGTTACTAGTTAAATTTATTAGTAGGGTTACACCTATTTGCTATTTCTGGGCAAAATTGTGTTTAAAAAACTGGATTTATGCGGAATGATTTTGGCACTAAAAACTTAATATATGAGATAAAAAAAAACTTTTATTTAATGTTTACTAAGCAAATCCAGTTAGATCCACAAAGCAAGTCTCATAATGTCAACTAAAAGACAAACTAAACTAAATAAATCACATGAACATTAGTATATTAGTCAATAATGTTACTGAAATTAATAAAAAAACTGAATAAAAATACATTTACACACATTTACACAAATAAGAAGATTTGATGATAGGCTACGAAATTGCCTAGTTTTTAGTAACTTATTTTTGTTTTGTACTTGTCTTTTGTTTCTGTTTGTTTGGTCATTTTGGAGGTTTTGTTGTTTTTTGTTTCTTTTAGTTGTCATTTGTTTTGTTGCTTTTTTTGTTTTATTGTCATGTTATTGTTGCTTGTTTTGTTATTCATCATTTTGTTTTTTTTGTTTATGCTTATTTTGCATTCTTTTTGTTTTGCTTGTTTCTGTTTGTTTTTTGGGTTTTGTTTTATTGTTAAAGGGTCACGAAACACCAAAACACATTTTTTGAGCTGTTGACAGTCGTATATGTGTCCCACACTGCTAAAAACACTATTAGGACACCTATATTTCACTAAAAAGTGTAAATTGGTTGTTTTTGCGTTATTTCAAGCAAATTCGTACTTCCTGTTTGAAACGAATTTTTGAAGCTGCGTCACGGTCATGACATAATAGCGTTGTATTCCAGCGTGCAGACTGGACGTCTGTGCCAGAGTGTGTCTTATTACGTCTTACAGTGTGCTGCATTAATGCATGAGTAAGGCTTGGTTCAAACCAATCAGCGCGCTCTATTGTGCAACTTCATTAATATTCATTAGTGTCACCGTCTTTACACCACAGAGACGCCACGTTGTGTTGGCAAAACAAGCGTGAAGTGTTGCTTTTACAGTTTGCTGCCATTAAGTTTCGTTTTCATTTTCTCTCTGTGAGAGCTTATCTGGATCACGTGTGGATTACAGTGTACGCGACGCTCGACAACAATAATTTACGTGTCTAAGGGGGATTATTGTTTACCTGAGAGCTGTTCTCATCTGCAAACGCTGAAATCCGGATTCCGGATGTAGTCTTCTCTTAATAAAGACGCGGCTCTAGTTGCTGGTGATTGTCCTGTCTCTACAGATTTGGTAAGTGAGCGACCAGTGCTCTTTGTATATTCAGTTTGTTCGTATCAAATAAGTTAACTATTGCATTGAGTGCAAACATGTTAGCACCGCATTTTGTGACCGGAATAACACACGCGGCTTTCTGACACTACCTGCCGTGTGCATCTAAGTTTCCGGGAAATGCAGAGTTTTTTTCTCTCATTCGCCGTGCGGTATCAAACATTGCATGAAAAATACACGCTTAGAGCAGTTCCTCGAATCAAATATCTCATTTGTCGCGAGGGGCATGAATGAATTCCCTGAATGAAAGAGCCGAACTGCAGTTAAAGTCCGATATTTAATAATTTGGCAAATAATTCGACTACAGATGTCCATGTAGGTTAAACACCATCACTTTCTCCTGTGTATTTTGACTGAAACTCGCGCGTGCCCAAATAGACACTCCCACACCATCCCACTTTAGTTTCTCCGACACTCCCCCCTAAACAGAGCTGGACACCCCCACTTTTCTGACTTTTTCCAAAGAAGAGGTGTGAAAACACCCTGCTGAAACGAGGGGGTTTCATGGCCCTTTAAGTTTGTTTGTTTTGTCGTGTTTTGTTGTTAATTGTGTTGTTTTTTTCTTGTCTTTTTGTTGTTTTTTGTTCTGTTTTTGTCGTTTTTTGCTTCAAGAGTTCCCACTTAGATATGCTTGGCACTTATCGCAGGTTTGGCATGCTGTCCCGGGAGAGAACCCTGAGCTCGGAGATATTTGAGCCCAGGGCTCCCGCCCGGTCTAGAAGCATATCAGGAGAACCGAGATCAGGTAGGTCTCGATCGCTCCCCCTTTAGAAGGGGAGAAAAAGGAGGAGATGGGGTGGAAGGGGGGATTCTTCCAAAACGAAGATAGTGCAATGGGGAGAAAGTGATCCATTTATATTAAGCTAGGATCATTCTGATTGGATCATTGCTGATTACGGATGAGTGGCCAGCGGTGCACAATCATATCACATGCTCCTCTCGAAATTAGTTTATGAAACTTCATGTGTTTTGTTTATTGTGTATTTGTTTTTTATCGTGTCGTTTTGTCAGTTATGTTTTGTGTTGTTCTTTTATTTTGTATATTTTTAGTTTGTTTTGTCCCTGTTTTGTTTTGGGCTTTTTTATTTTTTTTGTCATTTTTGTTTTGTATTTGTCTTTTGTTTCTGTTTGTTTTGTCATTTAGGGGGTTTTGTTGTTTTTTGTTTCTTTTAGTTGTCATTTATTGTGTTGCTTTTTGTTTTGTTTTATTGTCATGTTATTGTTGCTTGTTTTGTTTTCTTGTCATTTTTTTTTGTTGTTTATGCTTATTTTGTATTTTTTGTTTTGTTTGTTTTTTGGGTTTTGTTTTGTTTTATTGTTGAGTTTTTTGTTTGTTTTGTCATGCTTTGTTGTTGTGTAGTTTTTTTCTTGTCTTTTTGTTGTTGTTTTTTCTGTTTTTGTCGTTTTTTTGTTGTGTTGTGTTTATTGTGTTTTGAGTTTTTTCATCATGTCATTTTTTTGTTTCTTTTTTGTCAGTTATGTTTTGTGTTGTTCTTTTATTTTGTATATTTTTTGTTTGTTTTGTCCCCGTTTAGTTTTGTTTTGTGTTTTTTATTTTATTTGTGTTTCTGCTTTTTTGTCTTTTTTGTTTTGTATTTGTCTTTTGTATCTGTAGTTAAAGTAATTAATAACCTTCACTTTTCATAATTTGACTGTAGTGCAATAATGTGCATCTCTTTTAAAGCTGCTTTGAAACGGATATTATTATGAAAAGCGCTATACTAATAAACTTGAATTGATTAATGTCCATATTGTCCTGCAGAGGGGGTCAGAGAGCAGGACTCACCGTAAGTAAATGATGCCCCACATGTACGTACGGAACCACAGAGCCGTTCCCTCATTGGCCTGATACTTGCGGATGAGGATGGGATGAGGAACTGGCAGTAAACCCACCAGAGTCCCATGCTGGAGAAACCTGAGGATCTCAGACTCATCCGTCAAACCTCTGGTGAAAAAAACAAGTGCTTAATTTAAGGGAGAGTTCACTCTCCAATTGCTCCAAACCTTTACAAGTCTTTTTTTTCACCCGTGGAACAGAAAAGAAGATATTTTGTAGAACATTAGAAACCGGTAACCACTGAATTTCAGAATGGGAAGACAAAAAATACTATGGAAGTCAATTAAATATCTTCTTTTCTGCTCCACAGGAGACAAAAACAGAGACTCATGAAGGTCTGGAACAAATGGAGAGTCAGTTATTGACACAATTTTCATTTCCAAGTAAATTATCTCTTTAAAAATCAAGGTGAAAATCTGAAAAGTGCACCACTATTACTCCCTGAACACCTCAAAAATGAGAGATCTTGAAATAAAGTGTACTGTAGTCCTCACTTGTCTATGCAGATTTTCTCCACTTGAGGCACCAGAACCTGAAGGAGCCTCATTATAGTCTGTAGAGGAAGCTTACTTTTCCAGGAGAGGACCTAAAAGAGAGCATGTAGCGGTTGCTAAATGTAAATCTGCATCAAATATGAAAATATAATACAAAAACGGTGAATATAAGTGTCTTGGAGAGAAATAAAATGCATTTGTTCATTTTTCCTACATAGGTCCTCACCAGTGTTGGAGTCGCACTGTAAGAAACGCTAGTTAAGTTATAATATTCATTTTCCAAGCAACAAGTAATGCATTACCTAAAATAATTATAATTCAGTTACTTTAAAAAAATCAATTAGAGTTACTTTTTAGTTTAATTAATTAACTTTTGATAAATAAATTGCTGAATTAAAGGAACGTCACATTATGAGTTCATACATTATGAGATTCACAGACTGCAGAAACCAAGATGGCAGAGCCTTGCATTTCTGCAATAGAAATATTCTCATTATTCTGAAGACATGGAAGACAATGAAAAGGGGATAATAGTCTCAATGGACAGTAATTTTACTTCACTAATAAGACAAAAAGTACAACAGTAGCAAACAGATTGCTTTAAACTGTCATTAATCTGTATATTCAACATGTGCAGTACAGCTCTGGGCTTAGACATTTCTCAGAAGATAATAATATCCTACATTATTGTTTTAATGTGTTTTTATAGGTTAATAAAGGCTATACAGTGCATTGGTTATTGCAGAGCTCCTCTATTTAATAAAAAAAATATTTATGAAAGATAGCTAGGTAAGAAAAAGTAATGCATAAGTAACGTAACAATACACATCATAAAAAGTAATCAAGTAATGCAACTAGTTACTTTTTTGGGGAGTGACTCAACATTGTAATGCATTACTTTTAAAGGTAACTTTCCCTAATGCTGAATATAATCATGGTTTGATGTATAATACACATATACTTCTTTTCAATGTGATTGAGGACTTATAACTCACCCAGTCTGGAGTCGGAGCCCAGTCTGATGAAGATGACGCACTTTTCTGACTTCCATCACAATCCTCGTTTGCGGAATTCTGAAAAAGTCCATTTAAGTTTGTTTATATAACGCTTTTACAATAGTTATTGTTTCAAAGCAGCTTTACAAAAGGTGCACATTACTGCATTACAAACAAATTAAGTTAACGTTACAATCAAATATACACTCACTGGCCACTTTATTGGGTACACCTGTCCAACTGCTCATTAATGCAAATTTCTAATCAGTCAATCACACGGCAAACTCAATGCATTTAGCCATGTAGACATGGTCAAGAAGATCTGCTGCAGCTCAAAGCAGGCATCAGAATGAGGAAGAAAGGGGATTTAAGTGACTTTGATTGTGGCATGGTTGTTGGTGCCAGACGAGCTGGTCTGA